AGTGGCTTAAGTAACACTTTTAGGTGTTTCCTATAACATAGTGAATCTTCACCATTTGAGTTCTAGTCTTCTTTTAGATTAGCTATCAGAAGACTTAATACCAGCTTTATGGCTGGAACAAGAAACCAAACATTTTTAATAGCAATAATGCTGGAGGTCCTACATCTTTAGGAACTAAAGCCCATGCAGTTTTCATTCCTCTAGATACAATGAGAGATCAGGATCATTACTAATCCTTATAGGATAAGCCAGGAATATCCTTCCTTTTGGCAACATGCCCAGACATCTATCAATGCCAACAAATGTGCTTCAAATGAACATTGTAACTCATTCAAATCCATTTAAAAGTCTAAGAGGTGACCTGCGAGACCATGTTTTGTTTTTACCAAATCATCTAACCTGTTCTGGCTTCAAAATGTCCTACTGGGCTAAACAGAAAGCTAAAAAAAGGACGTGCAAGTTCACTGGTCAAGAGAAAGACTTCTGCCATGTAGGAAATGACAACCCTATGTGCGAATATGACAGTTCTGTTCTCAGAGTGTTTTTAAATTGTCTCCCAAAACATCCTTTTATTAGCTAATGAATTCCAATAATCAATGGGCACATACACGTTACACTACAGGGCCCATTAGTAAAATGGACTAAATGCAGTGGAAGAAGCTGAGACTGAATTACTATCATTCTTCAAACAGTATGCATCTACTTGTAGCTGAGAAAAGCTTTCTTCCTAAAGGTAGCTTAATGTTTACTCTGTGAACATGTTGGAAGCTTGCATTTTGACAAAGTAAACAATATATATATGCCACCAAATCTTAACTGAGAAGATTTATTATATTCATTTGCTTAGAATTTTTGCAGGATAGATGGAAATGTCATCACAGCTTCTAATCTAAATCTCAATTCTGTGAGGCTCATCCAGTGTGTACAAAAGCAACAGCAGGACCCCTAAACGTGACAAATACATTAGCTTGGTGGACTACAAGCTGACACAGACAATGGTGGTCATAGACTAGTCAGGTTGTAATATCTTGTTTTACCAGCCGATTGAGAGAGTCCACTATATTGATTTGAATCCCACACTCAGTAAGAGGGTTGTA